GATGATGCCATTCATATTAAAAATATACAAAATGACAGTTTTATCATAGGTCCTTGTTTAACAGGAGCCTGATTTTACAAACTGGAACACACATTTTGGAGATAATTAGTAATATGTGTTTTTCCTAAAAGCTTGTGTAAAAGTCTAATGGGGGCATTAGATTTTTGTTTTAGCAATGTTGTGATGAATATTTATTTATCAGAATACAGCTAGAAATTAAAGGAAATATGTACACAGTATAAAAACACTAACTGAATATTTAAGATGCGATATCAAGCTGTTCTAAAGAGAAAAACTGGAGTGGAAGCCCATGAAAACTGCTAGAATCTGATGAGAAGTTTCTCAGTTTCTTCTTGGAAAGACTGAAGGAAATCTAACAAGGACCTGGCTCAGCATCTGGCAGCTACATCTGGATGCCAGGTCGGTCCTTCCACAGTCTGAAAAAGCCTGATCAGGAACAGCCTTTGTGGAAGGACGGCAGCCAAGAAATCACTTTTTCAGAAGGAGGACAAGGAGAAAAGGCTGCATAACCTCACAAAGTGAAGATCAGTGGGAAAGAGGACTATGGAGTGATGCCATGTTCAGGTCCAGTCATCGACACTATGTGAGAAGACGACTTGGAGAAAGACGGCAGAATGAGTGCTCACAGCCTTCAGTGAAACACGGTGGAGGCTCTGTCATGGTTTCAAGACAGGTTCCACAAAAGACTTCAAGCTGTGCTAAGTGCAAATGGAGGTCATGCTAAATACTGACTTTGGACTGTAGAAGCCATTTTGTTCTAAAAACATTGTCTTTAATATTGTGTACATATGTCCTGTATTCTCTGGTTCTTAATAAAGAGACAGAAGTACATAGAAATAATCATTATAGTCTGGCTAAAAGAGCCAAACTAATGGTGGGCTAAGACTTTTATACAGTACTGTACCGCTAATGAACTCACATACTGTAAATGGAGCATCTATCATCAGTATATTTTATAAATCTGTGTGCCAGGGCTGAAATTTTAAATATGAACCTCTGTTATTTTTTTTTCATTTTATTTTGAAAACTAAAGGTGGGAAGTTGTCTATATTTCCTCTACTTAAAGCCGTACTATTCAGGATTTTTACAGTACATGAAATGACTGTATAGTGTGAGATGGGTCACTCATGATGAACCCACAGAGACAGAATTATCACTTCAGCTCTCCTCAGCTTTATGGAGATAGTTCAGTTCAGTCTCATCAGGTTGTTCACCATCCAAAGAAGTTACAAAATTCACCAGGAGGGTGAGGGAGAACTGAGGTAGGACTCAATGTGCAGACCCAGGTGCAAAGAAATCCACAGCACAGGAACTGTCAGCGTGAAAATCAAATTACGCATGGCTAAACCCATGAAAATAACATACAAAGAAATCCACAGCACAGGAACTGTCAGCGTGAAAATCAAATTACGCATGGCTAAACCCATGGAAATAATATACAAAGAAATCCACAGCACAGGAACTGTCAGCATGGAAGTCAGGAGACATATGACACACAAAAAAACATGTAACCAACGTACAACATAAAATCCACAGCACAGGAACAGTCAGTGTGGAAATCACAAAGACGTATTACACATACCATGAATACAGGTATGTCTACAGGTATTTCAGTATTTATGAAATGCTCCGGCGACGACGGAGCATCTGCCAGAGGTTTAAATAAGGAGGCAGGTATTACAGTAATGCTGTGCGCGACAACCCACAAGTCACTAATTACAGAAAGCGACGCAGCTGAGGCGCCAATCCCGCAAAAAGAGCGAGCAGGAGAGAGGAAGGCAGAAGAGAGGCAGGTCGTGCCGCGCAGACCTGACATGGACAAGAGATAAATTATTAAACAGCTGCATCATAGTCAAATGTTCAGGTTTTTTTGAATTGCCTCACATATTGTATGATTCATTACGGACTGTCCCTTTATGCTGAAATAGATCCTGGACAAATGAATGAAGCAATATGAACAACTGGCGGCAGCAAATGATTTATAACGATGCATAACCAGTCTTCTATCAGATGACAAATGAGTCTGCCTCAAAATGGATCCTCTCAGCATTTTGAACAAGCTCACCTGGTGCAGTGCGTACCCATTTAGGAATCAGTTTGTTTAATGACAGCAGGACCATCTTCAGTCCATCATTACTTAGGCCTTGTGATGAGTAAAAAGTTCATCAAAGTCACAATGGGAATAAAATGCCCAGGTGATCTTCCTACAATCAATCAAACCGACTGAGCCACAGTGAAAGTGTATGCGCACACACTACTGAGCTCTGTGTTAGCTGTACGTTATTTCCATTACACTCACACTGCATTAAGCATTTGGGTTAAAAGCTTTCATTATCAGGTGGGTTCTCATTTAGTGTTCAGAGATTTCCACGATCAATACTGCCCTTGACGTGAAAGCTTTGCCCACACTGAGTAGGTGTGTATGGGCGCTTTGTCCCTAGGTGTGTGTGCATGTGTCATGCCTGAGTGTCTGTTTACTGTCTTCTGTCTGTGGGGGAAAACCGTTTCCTACTGCGATCTTGTCACTCTGTGTCTGAGACAAAACTAACAGAGGTGTCCTGTTGATGCTGCAGTTGTTTTTCTGCCTGACGCCTACTCACTTGATCCCGAGGTCCACGCTACAGGCTGCTACTGCAACATATGTAGAGCCAGAACCCATTAATGAGCACAACACACATACACAGACATCTGCTTTAGTTTGTTTTGCTTTGCTCATGTGCATATTTCACATACAATTTGTGCTTGAATGTGTATGTGAGTGTCTGATATCCATCCTAAACAGTGGTAGAGTACGTGTGGTATTCAGTCTTAAAATGGCATTGTCTTCTAAACAAGTAATAACTTTGCCCTTGAGGTGAGTCAAGTAAGTACAGCTGCAAATCAATGTGTTTTATCTGGTGATACTGATTTGGTGAATGAAAATGGATCTGTCTGTCCTTCATTACAATGCCACCAGTTTCCAGGCAGTTCATACTCAGAACTGTCTTCTGACTAAACTGCTTTGTTTTCCATAATACAAGGAGTAAAAAAAACACAGATGTTTCAAGCCTACATCTACCTCATTTTGTAAACTCAAAGTTTATTTCAAACAAATCAAATACAGAAAATGTTAACTTGTTATTTAGTATCCTTTGCAGTTTGCACTGTCTGTTTTTATTTGCTTTTCTGAGTGTGTACTTGTGTGTTTGTTTGCAAGTGTGTGGGCGTTTTTTAGAGAAGTATGTAGGCAGCAGTGTTTTTACAAATGCCTCCTCTGCATTGTGATCAATATGTTGGGCCTTGGGGGGGGGGATGAGCTTAACCTATGTGTGCAGTTTCCATGATCAGTTCTGTTTTGAAAATACTGTTTTCAACATAGTGGTGCTGTTGTATTTTACTTTTCCATTTCCAATATTCAGATGAAAGTTAAGGCTTTTTTTCTTTTTGTTTTGTTTTTTATCATTTGCACACACAGTATGGCCTGTAGGAGTGAGTGTGGGTGTGTGTGGTTGTCTGTCTCTAAGTGTCAGCCCTGTGATAGACTGGTGACCTGTCCAGGGTGCACCCTGCCTGTCACCCAGTGTCAGCTGATACTGGCTCCTGCACCCCCGTGAACCTCTTGAGGATATACGATATAGATGATGGATGGATGGACACACAGTATGTATGTCACAGACACATATGTAGAAGTGATACATTGTTTCTCATGAACCGTTTGGTGCTCAAACTGTTGAGGATCTCCACAGCTTGAGGGAACAAGTGGATGCAGAGCCTTGTAGG